CGAAGCACATATTTAGTCCATTCCACGTCTTATTTCAGTAACGCGATCTTTATTTTCTTAAATATTGAACTTTCATTTTTATTTTTTTGACACTTCGAAAATTTGTGAAGTTAGCAGCCTAGCAGCCTAGCAGCTTGGCAGCTTAGCAGCCTGGCAGCCTAGCACCCTAGCACCCTAAAGAAAACTAAGGATAATACAAACATGAAATCCGTCGGAAATGAATCGGAAGCACATATTTAGTCCATTCCACGTCTTATTTCAGTATCGCGATCTTTATTTTTTTAAATATTGAACTTTTTTGTTGTTCTTTTTTGACACTTCGAAATTTGTGAAGTTAGCAGCCTAGCAGCTTGGCAGCCTGGCAGTCTGGCCACGACATAGTATCTCGTGTGCAAGAGATAAAATAAAAACACACACATGTCACCTTTGTGCCACCGTATATATCTGCTTACTTGTAGACAAAAATCTTGAACTGATGTAATGTCCAATTGCAACAATTATAATAGAAAATTGGAAGTGTCAAAAAAACAACAACAAAAAAAAACAAAGTTCAATATTTAAAATAAAATACAGATCGCAATACTGAAATAAGACGTGGAATGGTGTAAGTATGTGCTTCCGATTCATTTCCGACGGTTTTCATGTTTGTATTATCCTTAGTTTTCTTTAGGCTGCTAGGCTGCCAAGCTGCTAGGTCTCTAGGCTGCGAGGCTGTCAGGCTGCTAGGCATCCAGGCTGCTAGGCTGCTAAATTCACAAATTTCGAAGATGTTCAAATTTCGAAGTGACAAAAAAAAGTTCAATATTTAAAAAAAATAAAGATTGCGACACTGAAATAAGACGTGGAATGGTCTAAGTATGTGCTACCAATTCATATCCGACGGTTTTCATGTTTGTATAATCCTTAGTTTTCTTTAGGCTGCTAGGCTGCAAGGCTGCTAGGCTGCCAGGCTGCTAGGCTGCCAGGCTGCTAGGTTGCTAACTTCACAAATCTCGAAGTGTCAAAATAAAAAAAAACAAAGTTAATCATTTACAAAAATGAAGTACGCGATACTGAAATAAGACGTGGAATGGTCTAAGTATTTGCTACCGATTCATTTACGTCGACGGTTTTCATGTTTGTATTATCCTGTTAGGCTGCTTACTTTACAAATTTCGAAGTGTCAGAATGAAAAAATTATGTTAAGATAAAGTTCAACATCTTAAAGAATAAAGATCACGATATTGAAATAGGCGTGGAATGATCTAAAAAAAAGTGCTACTTATGTTTTTCCGACGATTTCACGTTTGTACTATTCTTAGTTTTCTTTAGGCTGTTAGGTTGCCAGGCTGCTAGGCTGCCAACTTCAGGCTGCTAGGCTGTTAGGCTTCCAACTTCACCATTATAAAAACGTGTTGAATTATACCGGAGCTTGAGTGCATTATTTTGTTAACTTGCAATCATACCATGAAGGCCCCAAGCAGATCTTCCTTTCGCCATCAGAAACTTATCGGATAAATGTATAAACTGGCCGGCCTTCCCACATAAGAAGTGTCCTTTAGCCTGCGGTGCTTTGTCGCCATTTTTGTCTACTGAGAAAAAGGAGTCTTTCAGTGGAGGTGTGGGGAGCTGCTTGTACGTTGATTGTCGTGACCATGTCTTTGGTATAATTATTTTTATCTTTCTAAAGTAGATCTGATTGTGAGTGGCTTTAAACAACAGTTGTGAGGCGTTTGTTATCACGTTCTGAAAATATAAAATACGAATCAATGCAAAATGTTTCTGTCATAAAGGCCCATAGTGCCCCAGAAATGTAAATGGTGAATAACCTGAACCATCTTTAGCTTATGCTGCCTTTTGGCAATTAGTACACTTACAGTGACTTAGTATGTTTTTTTAACTCAAAATACGACTTTGTTTACATTTTGCCACTTTCATGACAAATAGTTTTGTAATCAAAGCTAATATCTTTAAAAGTTAAGCATCTAAGATATAATGTGCCTTTAATTATGCGTATAGAAGTACGAGACCGTTTAGTTGCGAAGACATTTCTTTTTTATCATCTACAATTTTGGTCAACATCTGATTAAACTGTTTAAAAAATGAATGCGTGTATATACAAATACTTGGTGTACATATTTAATTCTTATATACTCCTCGGATCTCACCTGCAGAATACAAGTTATTTGAAGTGCAATAAGAATATTAAATCGTGAGATAACAATATACATGTATATGAAAAAATATAAGTTATTTTAGTAAAGTGTTTTATTTATATTGAATGGGGGGGGGGGGTTGGATTTCGGATGCGAAGAATTATATCACAAGCAGGATGTTATGATATGTCCAAATCAGTGATTTTATTGAGCGATAAAATCAGTTTGAGATATATTTTTTTCTTAAATAATACAAACTTTCGGTTCTTGTATGTTCAATAGGGAAAATGCAGGTCGTGTTAGAATGATCAATATCTCATAATGTAAGCGCTTAATAGGAGCGATGTGTAATTTTCCGGATGCAGGATTGTAATGAGTATAAGATAAAGTTTCTAAGCCATTTGAAAAAAAGGAAACAATATTATCTATGTGAGGAAATAACACCGCCCAATTTGATGGTATATGAATAATAGATTTCTTTTTCTAAATAAACATAGGGTCGTCCAGTGTATATAATATTTCCGCATCCAATGCTACTTATAAATGTAGCAAAATAACTGAATTTTAGAAATAAGCTCAGGCGTAATTGTAGCCATATAACTTACATGTTTATAATTTGACGTGAATTGCCATTAAGTTTTGATCAACTTTCATAAAACTGTCGGTACTGTAACATGATAATATAAATATAATTTTTGATAAAAATGGTTTACAATTAACAAACGGCACTTACAACACATGTATTTTACAAAAAAGAAGCTTACAATATGCAAAAACTTCCGTTATTGCGTTAGTAACGCAGTGATAATATAATGATAAATACTACAAACTCGGTCATTCATTGCACATACTAGTAATTTGGAAATGATTACTTTTATCTTGAATTTATTTACATTTTTTAATATTTTAGTACATTTTTTTCAAGAGTGTTTTCTCTTGAAATTATTCGGCTCATCTGGAGGCTGGAAAACATAATGTTTAAATAAAGAAAATGAAATAATATTCCCTTCTTTCTTTATAAATTTATAAGATTCGAATTGTTATCATAATGTTATGTGTATTTTTTTTTTTAATGTATGATTAGATAAAAACCAGGTTGTGACTATTTATCAAATTGTTTTACCACTAACTTTATATGGATGTGAACTGCTGAATTCCTTCCAATAAGCGGCTATGTTTTGACCGTAAAGAGAGCAAACAGAATGCATGAAGTGTATGCCATTGTTTCCCCGAAATACAGCTAGATTATAGAATGTCGGTGGTTCTACTCCGGTGCATGTTTGTGCACAAATGCATTTGTAATGTTGTAGACGCTTTCAGAATAAATTCGCCTATAGTAGTATGCACAAATAAATCCATGACAATGTAATAGTCTGACGCTAGTTGCAAGAAAAAAACTTAATGGCAATGAAAAGACGCTAGTTGCACTTGGTAATTAATGGCAATGTGATATACGCTAGTTGTATATATTAATTGATGGCAATGTAATTGATACAAGTTGAAGAATGGCAAAGTAATTGGTATTATGATGCATTTATAAATTGATGGCAATGTAGTTGATGCTACAAATGTAGTAGATACATATTGTACAAGTGTATTTATCATGGTCTGCTAATCAGACAGTACAATTTTTTAATTTTTTAATTGTCCCCAACAATAATAAATGGTTTTGTCCGATTTGTATGAGATGGTCAAGTCCATTTAAGATATTTAGAGAGGTAAGGGTTATAGATGGTATTAAACGGGTGTAAGTTCAATACTGAATTTATTGAACGAGTTGAGTAACGTTTTATTATGCGAGCCTCTGGCGAGCATAATATTATTCTTTTCAACGAGTTCAATACATTCAGTAATGACCATACATGAATATCATATTCTATTTATCACATACCCAAAACAAAGACTATCTAAAGTGATAAAGAATCATGTTTCATTGACTCGCCTATAATGTAACGCTAACATTTAGTGCGTCTGCCACTTCAAAATATATGCACAGCCGTGCAATACCGTTTTTACGGAGTCGCAAAAGCACTCCGTGTGAAAAAGGCTAATAAACCAGCTGACGTAAACGAGGGCATAAAATACATTACATTGGCTAATAATAGCTGAAAGATTCCCAGTCTCTAACGCACACTTTTCTTTCTTATCGGCTGAAAAGATTGCCCTTTATATCGCCAAATCATTAATGAATTTGGTGCAATGTACGTTAAATAAACAGTGTAATTTCAAACTGTATTGTGCATTTAGTTTGAATAGAAAAAGATGAACTTGTCTAGTTAAACGCGTATTATCGATTCAAGGAGTTACCGTATACCTGCTCAATGGTTAAAACGAATATAATAAGTTTGATAGTGTTCACAATACTTAAGCTACTGTCAATTGAAAATATAAAATGAATTTAGAGTCTATACCCTCAAAAATAGCATTACATGTATGATATTATAAAAAAAATATAATCAGGAAAATACAAAAAAAAGAGTTTTTATCTTTTTTTCCCATTTAACAAGTCAATTATAGATTTTAGTGCGTCTGCTTTATTGTCATGGGGCCTCGTTCAATTCTTGTATCTGATTGCTTTCATTGCTCTAGGGGGTCTCCCCTTATACCAGAAGTTTGAAAGTGAATGTGTCTATATTCAGGGGGCGAGTGAGATGTCGAAATGTTCATTTCCTATCAGAAATAGCCGTTCTCCAAAAGGTATGGAACGCCATAAATTCGAAGGAAAAGAAGAAAGAAATGTTACAACAATAGGCATCTTTGGCGTTCCATACAAGTACCTTAGTTTTAGTTGGATTTAGATGTAGCAGGTATGCTACAAATTCTGTATTGAAAAAAATTAAATTACACAGCAAGCATAGGGTAAAAAACCGTGCAACTGGAAGAGATGTATTTCAAGGTGATAAACGCTGAATTTGCTGCAGTTGCAAAAGGTATAACTTTATCAGGTAGGTTAATCATGTTTGCAAACCTTCGTTAAAATCAAGTCTGTGTAAAAAGGAAATTTTCAAGTGTTTTTGCAACATTGTTTTACAGTTACATAGATATGCAACGTTTTAAGTTTAAAAAGCCAAACAATCGCATCCGTGACAGGCAGAAGTATACAATAACTGTTAAATTATCACGAAATGGAAAAGAAAAAATGCAAAAACTGGCTTGTTTTAGCATATGAATGTATTATTTAGAATTGATGTATTTACTTAAAAAAAGAAAACATTTATAAAGCCAAAATGCTAACCGTTGAAGGGTAAACTGCTGGAATAATAGCACAAATTTAAATTTCAGGTTTAAGTCTCACGGGGGAGTATTAAGTTTTCAGTAAATAATTTTGTCAATCAGATATTAATGTAAGTGGTGAATATATCATGAACTTTACGTTAAGCAATAATTGCACCACACACTTTCAAATGTATACTGTAGTATAATTCTCACCAAAGTAATATGTCATGATGTCATGTCATGTATTGGATTACAATGCAATGAAATGAAATGTAATGTAATGAGTAATTAACGTAATGTAATGTAATTGAACTGGATTGGACGGGACGGGACGGGACGGGATGGGATGAGACGGGACGGGACAGGACGGGACGGGACGGGATGGGACGAAATTTGACGCAAGGAATTCTCAACTATACTCTTTACTGCGAGGTACATATTTTGTATCTTTATCGAAAGTACATGATCCTAAGATGAAACATTTTGTTTTTACCACATATATATGTTTTGAAAAGTTGTTAATATGAACTTGTTTATATTAATTAAGGTACGTTTCCCGTTATGAGAAATGTAAAAATATTTTACATAGGCAAGAAGGAATATTAAAACGAGCCAAGATAGCGTTGTTAAATTTTGCATGATTTAAAGAGAACCAAGATTAAATCAAATTTATGAAAAAAATGGGGGTCACCATCTTATACTTTAATAAACTGCCCCGAAAAGTGAGGTTTTTACTCTTTTATATCACTTTCAGGAACATCACAGCGCTTAAATTTCCCCTCTTCTTTCACAAAAAATCAGCATTGAAAACCATTCTCTATTACAGTTGAATATCCGAAGCACAAATGAGTAAGATACAATCTGGAACGCACCTAATGTAGATCTTCTGTAGATCTCCTGTCTGTGGTGGTTCTAGATGACCTCCATCATCAGCATGATGCTCGCCGTCATTGATATTTCGACCCTTATCCATGTATATCTGCTGGCGAATGGGCCCACCGTCTTACGATGTGGAGGTCAATTGCTTCCAGCTCTTCTCCTTTCGTCTCAGCCACAGCCAGCTAGACGCACGCTCGACAGCTTGGCTCAGTATCTGGATTGTCCTTCGTCTATCCCTTCCAGTAGTTCCTATCGCTGTGATCAGTCGGCACAGCGATTGCGAACATAGCCCACGCACACCTACTTCAATAGGTAACAGCCATGTATGCCAGCCTCTCTGTCTACATTGGTTGAGTAGCTCTGTATACTTTTCTTTCTTCCTCTCGTAGGCCTCTTCACATCTTGTCTCCCAAGGTACTGTTAACTCGATCATGATGAGTTTCTTTCCTTTTTCAGACCACAGTATTATATCTGTCTTAAGTTGGTCTGGACAAT